AACAGACCTCATGCTGGCGTGAATAAGTTCGCCAAAAAAACGACCCGAATAATTCCGGTGTTTTGACCGAAGCTGTTTGTTCCGATCGGAATGTGGAGCTGGTGGCGTAATCCTCGGGTACGGACGGAGAGGTACGAACAAAGAGGTGTGTCGACGGGCGAGGGAGGGTGGCCGTCAGAATGCTTGCTCACGGCGCGACTGGCGCGGCTGGCGCGCCACTGGAAATCCTGCAACCGGACGTCAACATCAGAGTCGAGCATTGCAAATACTGGTACTAATATTATCGCTTAAAAAAATCGGCTTTAATGGTTCGGGTGTTCCGACCGAAGTCGCTTATTCCGAGTGCCGTGTTCGTCCGCCGGGTCGTCGTGCAGTCGCCGCGTGCGGGGCGAAGAGGTGACTCGACGGGTGAGAATGTCCACCAGAATGCTGGCGGCGCGGTTGGCGTATTCGTTGGCTTGTTCGAAGGCGACTTTTTCTGTGAGATCGTCCACCGCAACGGCGTACGAATAGTGCAGCTGAAGCAACGGGATTGAGAATGAGATTCTCTCGTTCCTGGTCAATCTCATCACAAAGTCCTCCGGCTCCGGCTCCTGCAGAGTGCGCAAAACATACGTCACACCGCGCACGAGCACTTCCTCCATCCACGCGCGGTCGCGCAACTCACGATTCCGGTAGTCCGCGAACGAACGGATTTTTACTTCAGACCCCACTGGAAATACTGCAGCCGGAAACCGTGCAGCAGCGACGCTAAAATACGTTACCAAGAAGTCGCCTTCACAGGCCGTATACACCTCGCGGTAGCGCCCTCGCAGATGCCCATACCGGCGTTGCACCAAACTCTCCAACCACTCCCGAATCGCAGGGACTCCACATACCTCCCTAATCTTGTCCTTAATCAGATCTCTTCGACGAACCCCTTTCCAATTAGCATCCGCAGACAACTGCTCCCAGTACGTGTTCAGAGACTCTTTCATAGTCGAAATGAATTGGGCCACATCTGCCACCGTCTGCTGAAACACTTCGTCTACCTGGCCCGCGCCCCCGGACACACCCGCAGCGTGCGTGGCGGCAGCTCCAGCTTCGGGCGTCGCAGCAGCTTCGGTATCGTAAAAAGCGGCCGCCGCGATTTCTCGGAGTTCAGTGTCCGGAATTGTCAGGCTTCGGTTGAGAAGCTCTAAGGAGGACAGGATTTGTTCATTGACGCGCATCGTCCCATGAACGTCTAAAACAGATGGGCAAGCCAGGCAGGGGTACCAGCGGCAAAGGACGAGAAGGGTCTTGAGTTGTTCCTGTGGAGTCATGGTCTGCTCGGAACGCAGGTAGTGTGCCCAGCATGCAAGACCCGGCGGAGACCCCAACATGCGACTGGAGCCATCCTGGGCAGGGAGCATGTCTTCTGGAAAGAGGTAGCCTTGGATGATCCTGTCAGGCATCGCTCTGTGGGCTAGCCACGCGTGAGTTTGCTTGAGCCACCTGATCTTGCCATAGTCCCAAACGTCGGACTCAAGCCACCCCCGTACCTCCGAAATGCCGGCGTGGGTCCACTGCTCATAATCCTCAACCACCCGCCGAAGGTAAATTGGTTCTGGCTTGGGCTCCGTCATCAACGCGTCTTGGCACAAACTCTTGAAGTCCCGAACCAAGGCCGCCGTCCCTTCATACTTACAAATTTGCGGCTGCGTTTGATACAACCACACGGCACGCGCGGCCGGCCCGACAGTCATACTTATCAGGGGCTCTTCAATCACAGGGGGCAGTTCAGGCTCCTCACCGGAGGATATCCCCAACAAGTCTACACGCCCACCCAGAGACGCCAACACGCCGTCCAGCCAGAACGTCGTCCCCGGCGAACTGCCCCGAAGAGTCTTCATGAAGTTTTTTAAAAATTGGGCCACGGCCAAAGAGCTCCGACAACAATGACTAAGGTCTCCGCCACTGAAAGAAGTCTCGCAGGAAGGAGGAGGGTGGTATCATTCTGAGTTCCTTTAATGAGCCGTCGTAGGCCTCCGTGGGACGCCAACCACGCGGTGCCGCTCGGGATGTCGCAGGATAGAACGTGTCCGCACGTAACGGGTGAGGGTGAATAAGAAGGGTTTTTTGGGGGGACAACATGACTAGCAGTGAGCGCCCGATGCCAGCAACAACGCACCTCGACGACGACGAGAACGCTCACTTCACTCTCAGGGGCACCCGGCTGCTGGGCCGGCACACCCGTATCGGCACAAGCTGGCGACAGCTACTGGATGTGTCGACCCGGCAGTGGGTTACGTCTACGCCTCGCGGTTCCCAACCTGAGAGTTGGGGGCGATCGCACGACGGGAGACAGACTTGAGACGGCCGTAAGGGTGGTGAGCCAGGAACAAGACAGGTGGAAGAAGCGACGGGACCGACAGGCCGAGGTCAGGCGGGCTCACAGGGGCGAGAGTAACGACGGCCCAGAGTCGCGGGGAGAGGCTGGTGTGCTGGCGGTGCGTGTCGCGGATTTGGAGCGGCAGTTGCTCGAAATGAAGTCCGGCACGGTGGGAGACGTGTCTGAAAGGACAGTGGGTTTCGTCGGTGAGAATGACGCGTCCCATTTTGTGTGAAGGCCCACGTCGCAGGGAAGGAGGCAGACTTCCTTTGCGACACAGGGGCCGATATCAGCATCGTGACCGAAAGCGAGAGGCGCCGCATGGGCATTGACTTGTCCGGAGAGGAGGCGCGTGTCAGCACTGTGCTTGGAGAAGGCGGTCTCCCGGTGACTCGGCCGGTGAGTGTGGGGATAGAGAAGT